ATTTATATCATCAACAGTATGGGGCCGAATGTCTAAACCCCTAAGCACGAAGCCTTGAATTTCTGAGCCCTCAACCTGCCACCCCAAAACCTAAACAGCTGAACTATTAAACCTGAGCCCAAAATCTGGCTGGGAGGTGATCTGGGGTCGAGGGTTTTCGGTTTTGAAGTTTTTTGGGGGGCTAGCTGCGAAACCCTAAACCCTAAACTGTCGTAGTTTAGTTTCAGGGCTTGTAGAGTCTAGGGTTGCATTTGGGGGCTCTCTCCTTAAGGACGAAATGAACCCTAAAAGTACCATGTAGGGTTTCATAGTATAAGGGTATAGGGCCCGTACATTTAAGGGTCATTTCGTCCTTAAGGCTGTTGAGTAAGATTGTGGTGCTTGGACCACTGGATGTATCAATTGACCGGGGCTGTGAGCTTGCACCCCAAAGCTCAAAAGGCTGCTTGGGTCCTGCGCCCTAAAAAAGCCCTAAATCCTAGAATGATCTATGCACTAAACCTAAAACCCTGAGCCCTAAACCCTAAACCCAAAACCATGTAAAGCCCTAAGCTTTACATATACATATACAGTCGTGTATTTATATATATATATATATACACATACATTAAATATACATATATATATATATTTAGATACATACATACATACATACATACATACATACATACATATATATATATATACATACATTAAATATACATATATATATATTTAGATACATACATACATACATACATACATACATACATACATACATATATATATATATACACATACATTAAATATATATATATATATTAGATACATACATACATACATACATACATACATACATACATACATATATATATATATGTATGCACTCCAGTAGTGAAGGAAAGCGACTGCGTGGGGGAGGGCCAACCGGCAGCTTGGCGCTTGACGTGTTGACAGGCTTTGACCTTCGGCTGTAAAGCTTCTAGGGTTTAGGGTTTTGGGTCCAGGGTTTCGGAGGGTTTACGGTTTAGGGTTTAGGGTGTTTAGGGTTCGGGTGTAGAGCCCTAAGCCCTAAACCCTAGAGTTTCTAGGGCTTAGTGTTTGGAAAATATGGAGTTTAGGGACTTCATCAGTGCTTGCGGGCCTTAGCTCGTTGTCCCAAAGGCGTATAGTGGCTTCGACGTCGGCCTTTTGTTCCTGGTGTCAGGGTCTTTGTCATTTTACAGTGGGGTCTTTTGGGTTTAGTCAGGCCTGGTGCTTGCGGCCCTAAACCCTAAACCCTAAACCGAGCTGCTTGGCCTGATTTTTTGTGGCCTGTGCTGGTACAGCTTCAGGCCTTCCGGTTGAAGGATTTTCGCTCGTGCGTTTGTATGTCGTACCTGGGCCCTAAACCCTAAACCCCAAACCCTAAACCCCAAACCCAAAACCCCTAAACCCCTAAACCCCTGAACCCTACAGAACCTAGCTTCTGAAGGACGTATTGAAACAAATTATAGTAGGGAGCCCGAAAAAGGCAGCTAACATCAGCATCGATGGTTGGGACTCTGTCGCCTTTTCAGCCAGGATGCTCGTTTCCATAGCCTGAGCCGTAAACAGTGAACCTAGACCTTATTTCTTGGTGTTGATGGTTGCCGAATAATCCAAAAGTCCGTTGAAAATTTCACTTATTTGGCACATTTTGGGGCACTGGGCAAAGCTTAAAGCGACGGGAGAGGATGTCCTAAGCCCTAAACCCTAAACCCTAAACCCCTAAACCCAAAAACTCAGCTGTTGCTGAGGTGCTGCAGACTTGCAGAAACAGGCTGCTCCCGATGCCGAAGCCGACGACGACATCGTGGAGCCTTGGAGGAAAGCTGAGGTAGCACTGCATGCGTAGACCATAAATCCATTAAACCCTAACCCGAAACCCTAAACCCAAAACCCTAAACCGGTTTAGGGTTTAGGGTTTAGGGTTTAGGGTAGCCCCAAACCCCCAAAGCCATCTGCGCGAATGCCAAACATCTCCAACGGGTGGGTGCAAAAGTTAGGGAGTTCAGTGGGTTTGGGGTTTTAGCGTGGAATCTTTCGGACTTCCGTTCCTGTTGTGCTGAGAAGCCTCCACACACACACACACACCCACGGAAGTCCCAGAAATGCTTAGGGTTTAGGGTTTAGGGTTTAGGGTTTAGGGTTTAGGGTTTAGGGTTTAGGGTGCCCTAATTCCTATGAAGGTATCTGCGTGGCCAGAAGTGTACGACATCGATGCCAGCACATGGATTGCCGTGGATGTCGCCTCCCGGCTGGTGGGTCTACTCGGGTTGAGGCTTCAGGATATTAGGCTTCGGGGCCCTTCAGGGTTTAGTAAACTCTAAACCCTACACCCTCAACCCTAAACCCTAAACCCTAAACCCTAAACCCTAAACCCTACTACACCCTAAACCCTAAACGGGTTTAGGGTCTACTACATTTTAGGGCTGAAGGCCTGGAGTTTAGGGACGGTTTAGGTTTTAGGGTTTATAGCTTAGTTCCCCAATAACCAACCTTTAAACTTTCTGGGTTCTTATAACTTAGTAGTAAGCTGAAAGTTTAACATTCTTTGCTGGCTTGCTGGGGAAGTAAGATAGGGTTTAGAGTTTAGGGTTCCATGTCGAATGCTGTTGGGGTCTCTGTATGCTCCAGCACCGGAAGACAGGCGACCGGCGACCCCAAGAAGAATCTTTATTCACCCCAGGATCCTTACTTAGAAGAAACCCTATGGGAGGAAGCCTACCTTGTACTAAAACCCATGTCTTTCCGAAGTAATTGGGTTGCACCAGCCACTGGCTTGAGGCTGCTGACAGTTCAGTGTCCCCCAGGCATATGTGTCTTCCTGGACCGGGATCCTTAGCCTCACAACCCTTCAGCCCTAAACCTCTAAACCCCTAAACCTGCAAACCCCGATATAGACCCACTAAAACCTGACCCCCTCGCAAAGACGAGAACCTAACGCAGAACCCCGCCAATCACCTCGTGAAAGACGCTCGCGGTTGCAGCTCCAGTGCCACTAGACCCTAATCTGGACCCCCTACGTCCTGCAGTAAAACCCTCACCTCCAAGCGACACAAAATCCTAAAGCCCCATAGAGCCAACCCTAAACCCTAAACCCCTCAAGGGCAGACCCTTTTAAAGGAAGCCTGAAGAGAGCCCTTCAAAGGGACCCTTAAAAGGAACCTTCAAAAGGAACCCTGAATAGGACCCTTCAAACCTTAGGGACCACATGACCCATAAAAAACGGGGCTTTATACCCTTATAAATACTATGAATCCCTGTATGGTATATGAACCCTAAACCCTTTAAGGGTTCAGTTCGTCCTGAAGGAAGGGACCTTTAAAGGAACCCTGAAGAGACCCCCCGAAAAGGCTTTCGGCGATCTCGTGCGACATCCTGTGGTGGAGTGGCCACACCGAGGCCTCTTAGTAGGGTTTAGGTTTCTTGTTTAGGGTTTAGGGTTTGGGGCTTAGGGTTTAATGTTGTAGTACAGTGGATCTACAAGGGCTCCTTTCTGGGATGTCTGTGGGTTAAAAGGGATCTATAAGAATCTATACTGGCTCTACAAAGGCTCCTGTAAGGGATCTACAAGGGCTCTGCTCAGGAATGTATATGGGTACGGATTAGGGATCCGATTCGATAAGGGCTTCTTAAATAAAGGGATCTATAAGAGCTCCTTGAAGAGATCTACGTGGGAAGTGTTCTTTGAAAGGGTTTGGGAGTTTAGGGATGCTCTAGCGTAAACTCTGAGTCCTGAATCCTGCGCCCTAACACCACCCTACACTGCCGAGAGTTGCATCGTCGATCGAGCCACCCTAAACCCTAAACCCTAAGCCTCGTGGTGCAAGCTCTACTTGTCAAACGTGATGCCCCAAGTAAGAAAGCAAGGATCGACTTGGGGGTTCGGGGCTTCCGGGCGTAGACCTTGGCAATAAAGCCTTTGGAGTCGGAAAAAACGTTTTTGAGGGTTCAGGGTTCCGGGTTTTGGGTTCAGGGTTCCGGGTTTGGACTTCGCGTGAAACCCGAAGGAGGGCGCCAATTGACTGCCACTCACGCGTCGGTTTAGGGTTTAGGGTTTGAAAGACCACCTTGCGAATATTCCTTACATCAGCATCGGATGCCCCGCACTTTTCAAACGACATTATACAAGCAACCATTGCTCCTTGATCAAGTTGCGGTTGGGGGGCAAAAGAAACACAATGCTGTACTTACTGCATATTGTAGTAGAGTAGGTAACCTTCAACCTTTTTGTGGCAATCTACTCCCTATAGAATCCCAACGGTTAAAGCCTCTAAATTGTCCAGGATACTGGAGAAGTTGACCCTAAACCCGAACCCTAAACCCTAAACCCTAAACCCTAAACCCTAAACCCCGAACCGTACACAACCGACGTGAAGCCGAATTCCGGCAGTTTGATAAAGCAGCGTAGCATAGCAGCCTTAATAATTACCTATACTAGTTTTTTTTGGGGGTGTTCTTATGATAACTGTAGTATCATATGCCAGAAAACCCTATTCCAACAAGTAAGGCCCCTAAACACTAAACCCCTATAGTAGCCCTCAGAAGCCCCACTGTAAGGGACCCTTTAAAAGAATCCCACAACCCTATTCCAATTATTAAGCCCCCTCCCTACAATGGCCCGGCATAACCTCGCCAAATCTTAGCAGCCGGAGGACGGCCGGCCTGGTCCTCAAATAGAAGCTTAAATAATTTCCAATATTACTGTTAGGGTTCCTTATTATAGTAGTTTGTACAGGAGTTCAAAACCCTATTCTAAATATTAAGGCCCCTACATTAGCCGCTACTCCCTGAACTCGTGAGACCAGGGACCCCTATGCTCTGGATCTGTGCGGCGGGAATCGATGCAAATGGAGGCGAGGGGTGATCTGGAGTACCCTAAACCCTAAACCCTAAACCCTAAACCCTAAAAAGGCAGAGGTCAATCCAACCGTATACGGGGGGGCAGAGTATACGGCTCTCTGGCTCTCTCTCTCTCTCTCTCGCTATTTCTCTTCTTTGTCTCTCCCTTTCTCGCTGTCCGTCCCTCTGTGTGTCTGCCATCTCTCTTTATTTATTTATTTATTTATTTATGTCTTAGTTTTGTATCTCTCTCTCTCTCGCTTTCTTTCGTTTCGTGTTTTTCTCTGCATCTGTCTGTCTCTCTCTCTCGCTCTCTCTGTCTGGCTCTCTCGCTTGCTGCCTGTCGTGTTCGATCTATCTGTAGAGAGAGAGAGAGAGACAGAGAGAGAGAGAGAGCGAGACAGACAGACAGACAGAAAGATAGATAGGTACATAGATAGATATGGAGATAGAGATAGATGGATAGATGGATAGCTAGATGTTCAGCTAGATAGATGGACAGATAGGTAGATAGATAGATAGATAGATAGATAGTAGATAGATGGGTAGATAGGTAGGTAAATGGATAGACAGGGATATATATAGATAGAGGGATGTACATACAGGTACAGGTAGAGAGAGAGAGAGAGTGCATATACATATATATATATATATGTATATACACACACATAAGTATCAGTAAATACGTAAATGTTTAAATAAATGAATACACACACAAATACATACATACATATAGACCAAGTGAATATAAACATATGTATATGCACATACGGGGGTCCGTGCGTGCGAAACAGGGGTGGTTTGCATAAGGACGCCCAGCAGCGGCACCTGAGACAAACATGATAGGAGTTGCAGGCCTGCACAGTGGGATGAGCAGTTGAAAACTGCGATGGTTGCAGATAATATATTAGGTGAGTGCTCCCGACATAAGCATGTGTGTGAGTGTATGTATGCATGTATGTATGTACATATGTGTG